ACAATCGAAGTGGCTATTCCGGTTATTGGACGACATTTGAGGGGGATCTTCTTGGTTTTGTCTCAGTTTTAATTCATCACTTGAGTAGTACACACATCTGAGAACTTTCCTAACAATGTCTAAAGTAACGATTTTCTATTTCGGAATACTTACGATTGCATCCGTTCAAGGACAATTTTTGGAAAATTGTGAATTGGTGGGTATAAATTTGAAATACGAATCTTCGACACAAGTAACGACAATTTTCATTTAATAGAGCGGTTATCGCATGGGCGGTAGAAGAGAATTACACCGTTTGGAATTAATAAGTGCCGAACACGAACTGCGTGCAGTTTTAATGAAATTATCCGAAAGAGATGATGGTCCATTTTACAGGTATGTAACTTCAATATTTTTCAATAGTTATGTTATTTTTTCGAAACAAAAAATGTATTTATTTGTTTAGAATTGGTGCAGTTTTTGCTGGCAGCGAACAATTAGTAGCGGGCTCGTTGAAAACATTAGTTGTCACATTGCTGGATTTAAGTAATTTCAAACATAACTGTGAAGTTGATCTTTGGACCAGGCCTTGGAAAACTGATGGCACTGAAATCACCATAAGATGTGAATGTATGCGAACTATTTTTAAACATGTTGATTACTAGAAGGTTATTTGAGAGCTAATTTTTATTAAGAAGACTGAACAATAAATACAATAAATATTTTGGAAAAATGATAATTTAATGGGTTACATGCTATGAGTCTATAAAATGAGATATGGGAAAATTATTCTCCCCACATATTGCAATGAAGATAGAATATATATATTGTACTAAAAAGGGTAAATATGTCAGTCGATTTTGTCGAATACTGTGTGCCCTCAGATAATGACTGTTACAATAATTGGTAAGTCCAAAATTACTGTTTTTATTTTACCCTCAGCCATATCAGCCATAGATATCATTTGAAACGGAAAAAATGTTTCTCATCGGAAAAAAAAATGGTTTTAATTTTTAGGTCTCTTTGACCACAATCCGCTCCATGACATTTAGAGTTAATCTATGGATGTCCTTGTGTCTGTTTGGGCTCATGATAAAACTGGGTGGGAGCATTAGTTAGTTGAATCAGTCTTATGTTAAATAGCTGAACACGAGGCGCTTCGCTACCCTTTTTGCAAACGCCATAATTTTTACATTTTTTTTTTTAAATTTTATTGAATGAAAGCAAAAAATGTCCGAAATAGCATCAAATTTTAGAATAAGTTTAGATTTGTTCAAATTGGTCACCTTTTGCACGAATTATGCCCTTCAAACGGCGAATGAAACCGTCACACGCTACCCGAATGTTGCTGTGCGGTATTTTGGCTCATTCCCAGCGAAGCGCTCATTTTTCATTATTGGCCAAATGGAATATTGCGATATGTTCAGCTCACGAGCCATTTCTCGGCCACTGAATTCCATCACGAATAACCTTTTTTTCTGGAAAATTCTCACCAAAATGCTTTTGTACGTTTGTAACCAAAGTAATGAGCTGTTACTGGAATCATTTTAACAGCTGTTGGACGAGTGGCTTAGAAATGACAGCAGTCTGAAGTTGGTTGCAGTTTTTTCATCGCACCCTGTACAGTGACTTAATAAGATACCAACAGTGATCTTAATATAAAATTACTGAATTTCAGCCCTCTAATTTCTCCCATTATAAAATTTAGTACGCACATCCAAAACAGCTCCTTCTCTCAACTACAGACATCCATACCAAAATTTAGCACTCCTGCTCTATCCCTACACTCAATATTAAATTTAGTACTATTTTGTACTTTTCGTACAATTATAGCACACGTTTCCAAAACCATCTCCATATCTCAATCCCAGATACCAACAGAGACTTCAATATCAAATTTTAAAATTCCGGCTCTATACGTTCACCCAATAACAAATTTAGTAGTATTTAGTTAGTGCTTTTCGTACAAACACATGAGTAGCGACGCTAATTTCAAATTTCAGATTTCAAGCAATATCTGTTCACCCAATACTAAAATGTATCATACATAGCGATATTTCGTACTTTTAGTGCCCATGTAGCACACATTTTCTTGATCACAAACCGCCAGGGGCGCCAAATCCAAATTCCAGCTTCATCCATCTAAAGACGGGATATTTTGGTTCAATATTTATCGTGCGTCCTCCATAAAAGTTATATAAGCATATAATAATTTTGCCGTACCAAATTATAATTGCAGCCATTAGGTTGAGGGTATAATTGGTTTCCTAAAAAAATGTTTATGGAGAATATATTAACTTTGTCATTCCGTTTGTAATTCCTCGAAATACTCATGTTAGACCCTACAAAGTATATTAATTCCGGATCAAGGTACAATTCAAAGTCGACTTATCGATGTCCGTCTGTCTATTGAAATCACCTTATTTCTGGAACGAATTGAGATAGATTTATGAAAAATTGTCTATGCAGGTCCACATCTTCGTATAGCCGACACACAAACGATACCTCCCTTTATTGGGCATTTTGAAGATATTAGCGGCATTATTAACCGGAATTGTTTAAAATTTCGTATTTGAAGTTCGGAATCGTTACTGCAGCCTATGACAAAAAATTGCTCATGCAGATTCACGTCTTCGTATCCCACATATAACATTTTTCATTTAAGCAGTACTTTTCGACGAAAGTTTTGAAGTTCCTTCCAAACGGTGGAGAGTATTAAAAGTTCAGCCCGGCCAAACTTAGCAGTTTTTGACTCCAACTCCTAGATACCGTAGCCGTTTCCGCAGCCTTGGTTAAACCCTTAAAAAATTAGAATGTGGGTACTTGATACAAAAATGTTGAACAACCCTATTGCTTGCTTGTAACGTAGCTGAATGGATGTATTCATAATGTGGCTTAACAGTAATGTAATGCAACAATATGCAATATGTTTGCATGTAATTACAATGTTTTCGATATTTAACATAATTAACATTACAATAAATTAATTCACACATAACACGGTGTGAAATGACGAAATAATATCTGCTGCCATATATCATTTTTCATGTTTGTTCCGTACATAGAATAATGAACAGTGCGGAGAGCATGAGTGACGTGATCATAAATCATTGAAGTTCGTGTTATTGAAAACACTCATAACCATCAAATAATGGGTTTCCTAATAGGTTTTTGAAATCATAACTACCTACAATATTTATACCCTACAACACTATGTGATGGGGTATTATAAGTTTGATTGGGCCAACAATTATGTAACACCTCGAAATATTGGTTTCCCACATAGGAAAGTTTATATCGATCTTCCTATCTCGCCGAGCTGAGTCGATCTAGCCATGTATGTCCGTCCATGTCCATGATAATCTGTAATCACGCTACAGGTCACAATTATGGGCCGATCCTCACGAAATTGAAAATGGAGGTGGGGTTATGGTCAGAATAGAAGCCTATTGCTTTTGGAGATGATCGCAAAATATTTAGGGATTGAAATGGACCAAAAACTGAAAAATTTCCTTAATTTGCAGTTGTTCTACAGGTCGCAACTATAGACCAATTGACGCGAAAGTTAGCAATGGACTAGAGCTTAGGGCTGGACAGAAGCCTTCCGATTTGTATGGTCATCGGGTAATATTAAGTGGGTGAAAATAGTCCATAATATTTGTAGTAAAATCGACGAAAAGGTTTATTTTGACCGTTACATATATAGCGAGATACAGGGTGAGAAGAAAAAACTGCAACTAACTTCAGGCAGCTGTCATTTCTAAGCCACTCGTCCGACAGCTGTTAAAATTATTCCAGCTCACTGTATTGTTTACAAGTGTACAAAAGCAATTTGGTGGTGAGAATTTTAAAGAACAGAAAGAAAATAGACTCAAAAGAGTTAAAGAGTTGCTTCGCTTGACCGAAAGTGGTGAACTGCCGAATTGTTTTTTTTTTCGAAATTCGTTGTCCAGCAGTTTATAAAGGAACAAAATGTGCACCTTCTGTTGGCCACCAGAATTCAAGCGCCGAACATGGTAAGTGTGTGGGCTGCCATAACAGCCGATGGTCGCTCTCCGGTCATATTCGTATTAATCGACCGTGGCATCAGAATAAATGCCGAATATTATTGCGAAAATATTCTGGAGGGTGTATTAAAACCTTGGGCACAGAAACATTTTGGCCGCAGACCTTGGAGGTTCCTCGCTTTATATCCAGCGCGCAATGGCCATCAAAATCTCCGGATACCAATCATTTGGACTATTGTGTCTGGAGTATTTTGGAAAGCAAGGTTGGCACTAAAAATACCAATATGTCGATCACCTCAAGCAAGCGCTTCGCCAAGAATGGGCCAAAATGCCGCAAAGCAACATTCGGGCAGCGTGTGACGGTTTCATTGTCAAAGGTGACCAATTCAAACAAATCTAATTTATTCTGATGCTATTTCCAACATTTTTTTGCTTTCATTCTAAACAAATTAATTTAATGATTAAATTTAAATTAATTTCACAAGTTTCAAAAAATGCTCAATGCAATATTTGTACTTACATCAGATCTAATGCAAAGATGGAATATGTACAGGTGGTCGGATTTTGAAAGTATAGAACTTGTTAGCCCGTTCTTTTTAAGAGGAAAGTGTTTGGGTTAAAAGAATATTCGGAATAGATTTTGAAGTCCACGAGGTTCTTGTTTTGCAAAAAGAAAAAAAATATTAATTAAATAATCTTCCCCGTTCAATATATTCTTCTCTCTATTTTGGTACATATAACCTCCGTAAATATCTCATATTTACATATAAATCATTCAATACCTCCTCGCTAGAACAATTAAATCCACACGACCCATGATCCCACTGTACAGATTTAACTTATTCAAATCACTATGAATGGGTAGCGGTGCATTGCAAACATCAACAACAACATCTACAACATTTCCCTTCCGGCCAATAGAAAAGTGGAAAATAAAAAAAAAACATTATTTGATATTCTGTGTATTACGTTGTTGTTTCGATTTAGAACAATTCATATTTCACTTGCATAAATTTGTGTGGTTTGTTTAAACAATAAATGTGAAAAATCTAATTTTTGTTATTTTTTCTCATATCCGTTGAATGTTTGTCATATTTAGAATCAGTTTTGAAACTATTCTAGCTGTGTTAACACATTGTGATGATGGACAGAAAATTGAAAATAAAATAAATTGTATAAAAATATGTTAACAAAGATAAGCCGTTTGTTTTTGATTGTTACACTAGTTGGCACTACAATGACGAGTGTTGTAAGTGATTCGAAATAAGAGGAGTTGAATGGAAAAAATAGATATATCAGAAAAATGTGTTTCTTTTAATTAATTCTAGAGATCTTTGTGTATCTATACCGTACCGCCATCGTGTTTAACCGATGTAAGTAAAATTTAAAATTACGGTGATTTAACTAACTAACCAAAACATAATATTAGTTTATAAATTTATGGAAACACTTGCCCAATTAAACCTTAAGCCCATATTTGGATTTTGAGACATTCCGCATTTGAGCCGTTCTTCGGCAAGGCCATTGGAAGCATGGAAATATTTGTTTTTTTTTTGTAATGAATCATTTTTATCTTATTGGACTTCGTATTGAAACCATTGGTTTGTAAATGTATACATTTCCCGATAGGAACCATAAATATTGAACCTATATATCCAATATTTGCACTAGATCAAATACTTGTATAGAAACAAGTAAAAAAAGCAACGAGTTCGGTCGGGTCGAACTTTAAATACCCTCCACTATTTAGAAAGAATATGGAAAAAAGGAAACAAAGGCTATATTGGTGCGGGGCCAACCATGTGATACCCAACAACACTATAATGTATTGGAGAACCTGCATAGGTCTAAACACATTTTAGTCGATTATTTGAAATAATGCCATACTGTCCTGCACAAATGTTACCTTTGGTTTTTACCCGGGGATATTTTCATTATATTTATACTCTATGTCGTGTTAGGTACAGGGTTGCCCATATTCGACGGACCCATTTTTTTCGGCCATTTCGATGACTCTTTGGGCCCATTCCAATCGACGAGGCTTGTCCGCAGGCAACATTTTTTGCTTCAATTGAATTTTGTACGGGAACAAATGCAAATCAATGCGAATAATCCGTTGTTAAGTGGACCGAGCCATGCCCAACTGCTGAGAACGGCGTTTTTGGGATGTTCTTGGGGACCTCTCAACACTGGCTCAAACGGCAGCGATATTCTCGGCCGATCGCCTTGGTCGACTTTTATATGGCCTCTTCGGATTAGAAAGAGCCTTACCAGTCGAAAATGGTGTTCTTAGAAGGCGCACTTCTCACATTTTTTAATGTTTTAAAAGCACGTTGAGTTTTCACAATTGACTTCATCTGTTGAATGTAAATTTCAACTATTTCAGAGCGCTCGCGTGGCGTGCATTGGTTCATGGTAAAAATCTGCTTGGACTGACGCGTCAAACGCGGTATGTCATTAAGCGATGTGACATCTCTGTCAAAAGTTATGGCGTTGCCAGATGGGTCCGTCGCCGGCTTAATATTGTCCGATGACCAAACAAAATAGCATGCTTCTAACTCCAAGCTCTCTAACTCCATGCAAAATACCGCGTCGATTGGTTTATAATTTGCGACCTGTAGAGCAACTGCAAAATTAGAAAATGTTTCTGTTTTTGGTCATTTTCAACATAGCCCCAGCTCCATTTTCAATTTCGTGAGGATCGGACCATAATTGCGACTTGTAGAGTGATTACAAATTAACAAGGACAGACGGATGGACGGAGGAACATACATAGCTAGATCGACTTAGATAGGCGAGATAGGAAGATCCATATATAGTTTCCTACGTCGGGGACCAATATTTCGAGAATCAAACTTATAATATCACTAACACATTGTGCTGTAGCGTATAAAAACGTTGAAAATGCTGTTAAAATCATATAAAAACCGTATATAGGGAGGGACCTGCAATTTTCAGACAATTTCGAACTGCAAATAATAAATTTGAATCAGTTCCAGTGAATAACGTAGTTAAAATCATTAAAATACCGAATAAAGGGTGGTACTCTTATATGGGGGCTATACGAAGGCTTGGACCTGCATAGGCAATTTTCTGTCACAGGTTGTAGTATCCGGTGAATAATATCGTAAAAATCATAAAAATACAAAATATAGAGAGGCACCGTTATATAAGGGCTATATCAATACGTGGACTTATGCAGGGCGAGATAAAAACACAGCAACAAAGACAAAGGTTATAACTCTTACATTTCTTTTTTTAAATTTTATTGAATGAAAGCAAAAAATGTCGAAAATAGCACGAATTATGGCTTTCAAACGGCCAATGAAACTGTCACAAGCTGCCTGAGTGTTGTTCTGCGGTATTTGGCCCATTCCCGGCAAAGCGCTTTCTTGAGGTAATCGACACTTTGGTATTTTATAGTGCCAACCTTGCTTCCCGAAAGACTCCAGATATAATGGTCTAACGGATTGGTATCCGGATATTTTGGTGGCCAGTGTGCGCTGGAAATGAAGCGAGGAACCTCATTTTGTAACCATTCTTGGGTGGCGCGTGCTGAGTCCTGTTGGAATGTCCAAGGTCTGCGGCCAAAATGTTTGCGTGCCCAAGGCTTCCGCGATAATATTCGGAATTTATTATGTTGCCACGGTCTATTAATACGAGCGGAGAGCGACCATTAGCTGTTATGGCGGCCTACACCATCACCATGGCCGGCGCTTGAGTTCTGGTGGCCAACCGTAGGTGCAGATTTTCAGCTGATCTCTTTGGCAAGTAAACACGATCATTTTGTTTGTTTACAAACTGTTGGACAACGAATGTTTTCTCATCGGAGAAAACCAAATTCGGCAGTCACCACTTTTGGCCAAGCGAAGTAACTGTTTAGCTCTTTTGAGTCTATTTTCTTTCTGTTGCGGTGTAAGTTCTTGCACTTTTTGGAATTTCAATGGATTTACTCCGAGCTCATTTTTCAATTTTTGCCGAATGGAATATTGCGAAATGTTCAGCACACAAACCATTTTTCGGCCACGGTGACGCGGGTTTCGATCAAGTCGCTTCTTTACTTTTCGAACCATTTCTGGTGATGTTGCTGCTTTCTTCCGTCCGTTTCCTTGACATCGGGCTACACTACCAGTATCACTGTAATGAGCGATGGTACGAGACACAAAAGATTTATGCACATTTAAATGCTGGAGTGCTCTAACGATAGCCACTTGTGGTTTTTCAGCCAAATATAAAGAAATCACACTATCACGATTGAATTCCATCACAAATAACTTTTTTTTCTAGAAAATTGTCACCAAAATGCTTTTGTACGCTTATAAACAATATAATGAGCTGTTATTGTAATAATTTTAACAGCTGTCGGACGAGTGGCTTAGAAATGGCAGCAGTCATTCGTAATCTGTGGGCTTCCACAAACCAGAATTGGAACATTAGAGCAAGTGTGTATTTTTACAAATATTTTTAATTTTCTTATCTAAATATTACGTATGTGTCAAGTTTGGAAGAAAAACGTTTGATTCTTTTTATTGCAAAAATGATGAACTTTTGTCAGGAGGTACGATAAAGTGTGGGGCGATATATTCGATTTAGACACCTGTTCTAATAAATACCAAATAATTGGAATGTGCTAAGTGTGAGGAAATTCGCATATCTTGAGAGTATTAAACATGATTATCGAGGAATTACAACGCTAATATATGACAACGTTAATATACCCTCCATAGAGAGGTACAGGGTATATAAATATCATATAAAGAGCCCAAAAGTAGCCTACAATGTCTTTTGATGAAGGCTTCGATAGACCAAATGTATTTAGAGCTGCAAAAAATAATTTATATTTTTAAGTTTATTTACAATGCAATTTAAAATAAAGCAACAAGTTCTTATAATCAATATTTCAAGTATTTCAATGGGGGTACATTATCATATAGATAACTTAAATTGAAAATAGTTTCCGCAAGTGAAACTATAAATTCCACTTCATGTTATAGTAACTTTGTTAGTATATTTTAAACTTTTCTAGTTTTGAGTTATTTTATGTCAATAAATAAAAATATGTCAAAAATCATTTTAACTCTCCTGCTGCTAGGAGTCGCATTAAATTCTTCTAATGGTGATGTCCTAAACGATCTCATGCATTTGGATCAAATCGATTTGAGTGGTTTTGAAATATTGGGAATACTTTTGAAACCCGATGAGCCAATTGAATTAAAAGTGGGCGAAATTATTTTAAATCGTTTGTTGCACAACATGAGTAAACGTGGCGATGATCTTCATATGGAGTGAGTAGTTGGAGATTGAGACAAAAATTGAAAAAATATTATATATATTACTTAAAATATTACAGAGTGGATTCAGCCTCTTCATTTAATTTGGATCAGGTTATCACAATCGATGCCCAATTATCATCAAATTCTGAAGATTCAAGTTCTGTTGAACAAAAATCGCAAAAGTGTAAAGTAACAATTACTCTGCATTTGTTGGCTAAAAACACGGATGTGTCATTCGCTTGTGAAGGTCAACCAACCATTGAGAAACAATTCGAGTGGAACAAATAAGCGTGGCAAATATTTTTTGGAAAGGAGAAAATACAAAAAAAAAAAAAAAAAAAACATTTAAGAAATTCCAGTTTAATTGTTTACTTCTTTTATTTGAAAACTAGTTAAAACAAGAAGCGGTCAATCATGACTCTATGCCTCTTTTTATTTTTACACAATATTCAAATTCAGTTGTAACAAAAATGCATATTACAATTTTTATATGGAGAAAATGTACTCATTTTATGACAAAATACAATTTTAAAGATATAGAACATGATAAAAAAAAATAAAATAAAATAAAATAAAAAAATAGTATAAATAAGTAAAAAAATAAACAATTGAACCTATTATGACCAACTAATTCCAATTTTGGACAAATCCATGAAAAAATGTGACAAAAACCATCAAAATACCGAATATCGGGAGATACCGTTATATGGGGGCTATACCAAAACGTGGACCTATACATGCAATGTTTCGCCACACATACTAGGACCCATTATGACCTACATATACCAATTCTCAGACAAATCCGTGAAAAATGTGGTAAAAATCATTAAAATACCGAATATCGGGAAGTACCGCTATATGGGGGCTATACCAAAACGTGGACTTATACATGCAATGTTTCGCAACCGGAGCTATAACCAATTATGACCTACAAATACCAATTTTTAGACAAATCTATGAAAAAATGCGGCAAAAATCATCAAAATACCGAATATCGGAAGGTACCGTTATATGGGGGCTATACCAAAACGTCGACCTATACATGCAATGTTTCGCCACACATACTAGGACCCATTATGACCTACATATACCAATTCTCAGACAAATCCGTGAAAAATGTGGCAAAAATCATCAAAATACCGAATATCGGGAGGTACCGTTATATGGGGGCTATACCAAAACGTCGACCTATACGTGCAATGTTTCACCACCGGAGGTAGAAACCACTATGACCCACAAATACCAATTTGTAGACAAATCCATGAAAAAATGCGGCAAAAATCATCAAAATACCGAATATCGGAAGGTACCGTTATATGGGGACTATATCAAAACGTGGACCGATATATGTAATTTTCAATACCAACCATCCTAGACACAATACAAATTATTCTGCAAAATTTTCATGCTCTACGTTAAATAATGTGGCCTGTATCGTGATTTCGTGATTTCATTCTAAAAGCAAGTACATAAAATTAGTGAAAATCGATTCAGATATAGCTATGGCTCCCATGTATATGTTTCATCTGATTTCCATCCGATTTGGTGTTTAAGTCCCCCACATTCGTAATATGCATTTGACAGCAATGAAATTTGGTACCAGTTATCATGTATAGCCGAGAAACACCTCTGCCAAATTTTATTAATATATCTTCAACCGATTTCGGGTTAATTGTGGAACAAATGGCCAATATCAGTACAAAAATCCTGAATTTTGGTACATCTGCCCGAATTTAGTCTAGAAGCAAGTACATTAAATTTGGTGAAAATCGGTTTAGATATAGCTATAGCACCCATAAATATGTTTCATCTGATTTCCATCCGATTTCGTGTTCAAGTCCCTTAAATTCGTAATATGCATTCGACAACAATAATATTTGGTACCAGATATCTTATAAAGCTCGGAAATAACTTTGTCAACGTTTATCGAGAACGGCTTAGATGTGGACATAGGTCCAAAATATATCTTCAACCGATTTCGGGTTAATTGTGCAACAAATGGCCAAAATCAGTCCAAAAATCCTGAATTTTGGTACATCCGACCGAATTAAGTCTAGAAGCAAGTACATTAAATTTGGTGAAAATCGGTTCAGATATAGCTATAGCTCCCATATATATGTTTCATCCGATTGGGTTTTAAAGACACTCAAATTCGTAATATGCATTCGACAACAATGATATTTGGTACCAGAGATCGGAAATACCTTTGCTAAATTTTATCGATATATCGATTTAGATATAGCTCCTATAGATATCCTTAACCCGATTTCAGGTTTATTGTGAAATAATGGCAAATATCAGCCCAAAAGGAGTGAATTTTGGAACGTACGTTTCCTTTGCGCAACTCGGCGCCGAAATATATTTGTATACCCTCCACCATACTATGGAGGATATATTAACTTTGTCATTCCGTTTGTAACTCCTCCAAATACAAAAAAGTATATATATTCTTGATCAGCGTAAAATTCTAAATCGATTTGGCTATGTCCGTCTGTCCGTCATTTGTAATCTTTCGAAGGAATTGAGATAGAAGGCTACAATTTTGCACACATGTTTATTTTGCCAGTATTTTGATGAATTTAGCGACATTTATCACAGGAATTGTTTCAAATTTGGTATTTGAAGTTTGTTATGGATACTAAAGCCTATGGCAGAAAATTGTCTGTGCAGGTTCACGTCTTCGTATAGCCCCCATATAACGGTACCCCCCCGATATTCGGTATTTTGATGATTTTAGCGACATTATTCACCGGAATTGTTTCAAATTACGTATTTAGAGTTCGTAATGGATACTACAGCCTATGACAGAAAGTTGTCTATGCAGGTCTAGGACTTCGTATAGACTCCCTATATTCGGTAATTTGATGATTTTAAGAACAATACTCACCGAAATTGTTTGAGATGTCGTATTTGAAGTTCGTAATGCATGCTAAAGGCTGTAACAGAAAATTGTCAATGCAAGTCCAGGTCTTCGCACAGCTTCGATATAACGGTACCTCCCTATATACGGTATATAGACCCCAATATAACGGCTATATTCGGTATTTTTAGGATTTTAAGAGAATTTTTAGCGGATTTTATTTTTTGAAAATTTCCAAATGCGTTCAAATGGTGGAGGGCAGTCAAAGTTCGGCCCTGCTTTTTAAAATGTTTTTGATATAATCCTCCTCCAAGTGATGTCATGCACTCTATAGTTCACTATAACTGCTCTAAAGCCAAATGTTGATAGGTGGTATGATCTTCTTGAAATAAATTATTTTATTACGGGAGCTCTACTAAATATGCATAGTGGTGTTGGGTCCGCCCAACTTTTGACTTTTCCTTGCTGTTTTTTTCTCGACTCTTGTTTATTAACTCAAAAAATTAAATTAACTTATCAACTAATTCCATGGATATTTATGATAATTCTGACAGGTAGGTATCTTTTCTTACAATTTCGTAAACTTTTTCTACCTCGTATTTATTGTTCACGTCCATACGTCAGTCTGCTCGATCGTCGTTGTCCTATCGTTCAAACAACTTTCGTACTTTACCTTTCGAGAGTCAAGTCGCTATTATCTACTTCTTTGAATTTATGATTACAGTAAGATTCAGATCTCTGGGAGATAATTAATAAATTATGTTTACTCAAATTTATCATTAACATTATGGAAATATCCATCAATCCCTAATATACCGAAATAATCTCGCGAGCATTCTCTCTCTACATTCAAATATGTGGGACAAAGTATAATAAGATAATGTTATCAGCATCACTATCAACGAGTCCCCTCAAAATAAGAATATTAGAAAAATATAATCAATAGAATAAATTACAAAAACATAATGGGAAGAAGAAAACAGATTAAATCAAATATATGTATAAGTATGTACGTATATGTGTGGGTGTGTATATGTTACTGCTTGTGGAGATAGCGAACAATGTAATGAGAAGTTAGTATAAATAGTCCGGCGTGACCAGATGTCAGCTACAGTCATCGTTTAGTTATTGAATAGCATACACAACAAATTAGAATCTCAAAACAAAATCGGGAAAATGATGAAATTTTTAGTTGTTGCATTCTTTGCTGTTTTGGCCATTGCCAAGGCCAATGAATTCTGTGCTGGTTGTGTGACCACCGTGACCGACGACAAAGGTCTTGAAAGGGCCACCAATACCCTAAACAATTCACTGAAAAAATTGGCTGCCGGTGAAGGACCACATTACAAGTAAGTTGTTTAAGCAATCCGATCGTTATTGTTTTGACTTATTGAACTAATTTATTTTACAGACTTGTCAAAATCAACTCTGCTACCTCTCAAGTCATCCGTGGTCATTTGTTCAGAATAAATGCTGATTTGGAGGATGAGAATGGCCACACCAAGACCTGTGATATTAAAATTATTGAATTCACCGATGTGAATATTACCTTCAACTGCCCCGAAGAACAAGAGGTTTCTAGAACTCATAGCTATTAAGATGTTTGCAGTATGTTTTGAAAAAATAAAATTTTGGAAAAAATAGAAATGTTCTTGTTTATTTTACCCTCAACCATGATATGGAGGGTATGTTAAGTTCCTTACATCGAAATAATCATGTCATCTAATAATCATCTTGGTCAGTATGAAATACTATGCTGATTTAGTCTTCGTTGTCCTATCGTCCAAACGACTTGTGGTAGGAAGCTAAGATTTCGCTTTCTTGTATCTGCAGACAGGTCAGATTTTTAAATGAGATATACAGAGTGAGAAGAAAAAACTGCAACCAACTTCAGACTGCTGCTGCTAAGCCACTCGTCAGAGAACTGTTAAAATTATTCCAGTTGGCCGTTTGAAGGCCATAATTCGTGCCAAAGGTGACTAATTCGAATATATCTAAACTTATTCTAAAATTTGATGCTATTTCCGACATTTTAAGCTTTCATTCAATAAAATTAAGAAAAAGTAAAAATTATGGCGTTTGAATTTGTTGCAGTTTTTTATCTACCCTGTGGGGTATAAAACCTTTATGTCCAAGAGACACGCCTTGGCTATATCGAATTATATACATTTTCTGTTGCCTTGCGGTACACATTTATATTAACCCCTTCAACCAACAGTGACTATAAAATCGAAATATAAATTTTTCTGCTCCATTCGTTCACCCAAAACCAAATTGTAAAGTTCTTACCTCAGTACACATTTCCAAAACCTCTTCCATACGTCTACCCTACTTGCCGAATGTCAATATTTTACTTCTATCCTTCACATAGTACCAAATGTTACAAAGTTTAATGCTTTTTGGAAACCTATAGTTTGATCCTGAAAAAAAATTGTAAAAATGTTGAGGATTTGTATTTTTTTCTCCTGAATATATTTAATATTTCCTGGGCTCAATCCTTATAAAATCATCATGCATTTTTTATGAAGGACAATCCTTCATTAAAACAAGTAAAAGAACATTAAGTTCGGCCGGGCCGAACTTTTAATACCCTCCACCTTAGGGTAATGGAAACATTAGAGCCAATTATGACCCACTAATACCAAATTATAGACTTATTAGTAAGAAAATGTGGCAAAAATCTTCAAAGTACTGAATATCGGGAGGTACCACTATATAGGGAAAAAACGAGGACCTATACATACAATGTTTCGCCAACGGAGCTAGAACTCATTCTGATCAACAAATAGCAAAAATCATCAAAATACTGAATATCGGGAGGTACCGCTATATGGGGGCTATACCAAAGCGTGAGCCCATACATACAATATTTCGCCACACGAACTAGGACCCATTATGACCTACAAATAGCAATTTTCAGACAAATCCGTAAAAAATGTGGCAAAAATAATCAAAATACCGAATATCGGGAGGTACCGTTACATGGGGATTATACCAAAACGTGGACCGATGTATCTCATTTTCAATACCAACCATCCACAACACACAATACAAATTATTCTGCTAAATTTTGACGTTCTACGTCAAAAAATGTGGCCTGTATCGTGATTTCAACAGACTGACAGACGGACATCGTTAAATCGGTTTAGAATTTTATGCTGATTAAATTAACCGATACTTTTTCATTTGTTTCCAAGAAATATTGGTTCGGATCGTTTTTAAGGAGTTTATAATGGCTTTCTTTTGCTCAACTATAAATTAAGAAAAATGCATATACTGTTTTTAATAAGTTTTTATTTTTTATTAATTAAATCACTTTACGAGCTATGTTTCTTGGTCAATGGTTCTTCGCCGGGACAATGGAAGGTAACGGTTACATCATTGAAATCAATAATGTCAATATCACAGGTTTTTGTCTTCTTGTGTTCGTCGACTAAATCGGCATTAATTTTATACAGGAAACCCTGAATAACTTGGGTGGTGGCTGAGTGGACCTCACCAAGCCTAGAAAAGAAGTGAGAAAAAAAGTGATGATTTGAATCGGAAAATATTTTCAAGAAATGCCTTACGTGTAATGAGGACCATCACCGGCTGCCAATTTTGCCAAAGAATTCTTAAGAGCATTTGTAGCATCGCTGGTACCTTTTTCATCACCAACTGCAGATGGGCAACCCAAACAGGGTGGACTAGCCTTAGCAATAGCCAATGTGGCCAATAATACAACAACGAAAAGTTTCATCATTTTGTGGATGTGTTCTGTTCTGTGCTTCAGCTGTGACTGATACTAGCTGCTCAGTGGAGGTAGTGTTTTTATATGATTTTCTAAACACGTTCTGTCTTATTTTCTCTCGTTCACCAAACGATGTCTTCCTTGTTTAGAAAGATAATAATTTATGACTCTTTTCCCTTCGGTGTGGTTGTTTTGTGGGAGAGTGTTTTCATTCGTTGTTGCTGTGGCTGTGTGTCAAAATTATTTGGTGATAAGTGGTATAATGACCTACCTTACACAGTTTTGGTAGATATGTTGCTTATCAGCAATGTTGGCATTTCTTGAAAACATAGATCACTGATTAGTGTTTTGGAATCACATTGTGGACAGTATTTGTAAAAAAATAATAATAAAGGCAATTTGTTACAACATCAATCCTAAGTTTTGCCTATGAGAAGAATGAAAAATGCCCCCAATTCCAGCATATTGCGTATACACTTTTTACAACCACATGCCATTCTTTTTTATAACTTATCGAAATAATCAATAATGTAAGTAATGTTCACATTTCCATATAGTATCTATATTAAGGTAACTCCCCATATTCGGCATTTTATGATTGTAGCTTCAGTTTTCAGCATTTTTGTTTCCGTTTTATTTGGTTTCGTATCTGAAGTTCTTGATTGATATCAATCTCTCTAACAGTACATGCTTCATAAATATGAAAACTTGAACCTAATGTTTAGCCACCCTAAACTCCAGATATTCAGAATTTACATACTTTTATAACATTTTGCAACGGAGTTGTTTGAAGTCTGAAAATACAATCCAATAGTCGTCCAAAATGCTAGACTTCTACCCTCTCCTATACCCTAACCTCATGCAAATTCCGTGCCGATTGGTTTTAAATTTTGATATGAAGAGCTACTTCAAAAACAGGAAAATTTTAGTTTTTTTTTGTCCATTGAACCCTTAAATGTACATTTAAAAAACAATTGGGTTCAACCCTAACCTTAAACATGTCGTAAGGATCGGACGATAATTGTGACCTGTATGTCATACCCTCAGCACATAGTGTTATAGAGTGTAAAAAAACCTAATGTAAACCTTTTGAGACCATCTCCAAAAACAAGAGGCTACTACCACCCCCATGTTCAATTTCGTGAGCAGCAGGCTGTAATTGCGACCTGTTACCTGATTACAAATAAACATGGACAGACAGACGGTCATACATAGCTAGATCTTCTCAGCTCCGCGAGTCCTATGTGCATGACCACTATTCCGAGGTCGTACATAATTTTTTGGACCAATCAAACCTATAATACCCTCCACTGATAATATTGTAGGTATACAAAAACAAAATACAAATCTTATATTGAGTGTGATTTTAAGATTAGATTTGGACCAATGGGCAATATTGCCCTACAAATTTCTTCAAACATTGCTTCAAAATTTATCTTAAGTTTGATCTACACGGGATACTCCCTTTATTTTTATTGAAAGGCAGTTAAAAATAAAGGGAGTATCCCGTGTAGATCGACCTTAGGATAAAGTATTCGTTAAAAATTCTGCTAAAATCTTAAAAATACCGAATAAAGCCGTTATATTAAAGTCTATACGATGTGGACCTACAAAGGCATATTCAAATTCGAAACTTGAAATAAACGGTGAATACTGTCGCTAGAATCATCAAAATACCGTATATAGGGTGGTACCGTTATATCGGGCTATACGAAGACCTGGACTTACATACATAATTCTCTGTCACAGGCTGTAGCATCCATTACGAACTTCTAATACGACATCTCAAACACTTTCGGTGAGCATTGTACTGATATATGGGGCCTATACGAAGACCTGGACCTGTATAGACAATTTTCTGTCACAGACTGTAGTTCCCATTACGAAATCAAAAAACGTAATTTGAAACTACTCCGGTGAATAATGACGGTAAAATCATCAAAATACCGAATATTGGGTGGTACCGTTATATGGGGGCTATACGAAGACGTGGACCTGCACAAACAATTTTCTGCCTACGACTGTAGTATTTATTTCGAACTTCAAATACCAAATTTGAGACAAATCCGGTGAAAAATGTCGCTAAAATCATGAAAGTACCTGATGATGGTACATGGTCCATTTACGGACTTAACCTGCCTTCTGGCAAAATAAACACGAAAGCAAAATTTTAGCCTTCTATCTCAATTTGTTTAAAAGATAGCGTGATTACAACAGAAAGACAGACGGACAGACTGACATCTCTAATTTGACTTAGAATTTTACGTTGATCAACATATATATATACTTTGATGGGTCTGACATGAGTATTTCGAGGAGTTACAAACGGAATGAAAAAGTTAATATACCCTGCATAGTGTGGTGGAGGGTAAAAAATATTAGCCTACTGTTTCTCGTACCTCCTCCTAAAAGGAAATATCTTTAAAATACATTTTCAACTATCAGAAATGTGGGTGATAATTCAGAGTATATTAGCTTTCAAAACTGCTTATAATGCCGTTGTGATAATAGAAAAATAATCTGAAACGATACAAATGTCATGTAACAAATTAACATACTCTCCATTTTGTAGTAGAGTTTATGATAAATGATCATCTCAAATATTGCGCAATAAAAATTTCAAAAAATTAACAAATTCTTGATAATTAATCAAAGTTCAATTCCAAGTGTGCCATCTGTCATTATATTGCGTTGTAGCTGTTCTTAATTTCTTTTACTTCTTCTCATCAAATGATTAACCCCTCGACAAGATTATACAAATGTCAGCGAATTATTCACCATTAGCTACGCACTCTTTATCAATATTCATAAGAGCAGAAATCACAGTAGAATGTTAATTGCCCATTAGTTTTAAATAATATAAAAAAAGTTATATTCGTGTCAGAGCAAATAAATTTAATTGGATGTCGCCCTCTCGGAAATCCCACAACAACAAAAACGACGATTAGCGATTAAAATGGAACTAGTTTTCGCGATTATAATCAGCATATTTATTTGTTTATGTGCAAATTTTGTAATCTCATTTTGAGTAAATGAATTTGACATATTTAATTAGGCCTATAACACATTTTGTAACCTTTCACTATTTAATCTGTTTTATTTTTTTTGGGAAAAGTAAACTTGAATTTTTGTGTTGGACATTTGATTTTTTTGGTTATCATTTCAGGAAATTAGCAAATATTACTTTTTTACATTGAAACTAAAAATTGTTATTTTTTAAACTACAGATATGGTAAGTTTGACCTAATTGTTGGACAAATCAATCTGATTGTCATAGTCTAAATCAATAAGTAAAAAATTAAGTGATATTTACTAGGATCAATTGGTTATACATAACATGATATGTGCACAGGCAATATAGCAAATATTTGAAATTTAAAAATGATCATTATAATACAAGCCACACACGACACAACTCACTAATGTTACAATCGGTTGTTACAACATCACAAATCTTTGATTTTTCGTACAACCGAGACACAACTTCGTACAACCGGACCACAAACGATACAATCTTGAATACAATCTATCCAAGTTGTACAACCAATTGTATCGTGTGTGGCTTTCACAAGAATAAGAAGGTGCGAGTTTAAAAATATTTGAAATCATTTTATAATGGAAATTATCTTGATATAGATATTTTTATACCCTCCACCTTGTCATTCAATAAATTTGTCATTCCGTTTGTAACATCCTTAAATATTCGTCTTAGACCCCATAAAGTATATATATTCATAATCAGCATAAAATTCTAAGTCGATTTAACGATGTCCGTCTGTCTGTCTGTTGAAATCACGATACAGCCCGCGCCAAAATTTAGCAGAGCTATTTGCATCTAGGATGGTTGGTATTGAAAATGAGATATTTCGGTCCATGCTCTGGTATAGTCCCCATATAACGGTACCTCCCGATATTCGGTATTTTGATGATTTATGCCACATTTTTTCACGGATTTATCTGGAAATTGGTATTTGTAGGTTATAACGGGTCCCTGAGCGTGTGGCAAAACATTGCATGTATAGGTCCACGTTGTGGTATAGCCCCCATATAAAGGTACCTCCCTATATTCGGTATTTTAGTTTTTTTTTGCCACATTTTTTCACGGATTTGTCTAAAAATTGGTATTTGTGGGTCATAATGGTTTCCAGCTCCGGTGGCGAAACATTGCACGTATGGGTCCATGATTTGGTATAGCTCCCATATAACGGTACCTCCCGATATTCGGTAATTTGATGATTTTTGCAACATTTTTTCACGGATTTGTCTGAAAATTGGTATTTGTTGGTCGAAACATTGCATGTATGGGTCCATGATTTGGTATAGCCCCCATATAACGGTACCTCCCAATATTCGGTATTTTGATGGTTTTTGCCAAATTTTTTCACTGATTTGTCTAAAAGTTGGTATTTGTGGGTCATAATGGGATCTAGTTAGCGTGGCGAAACATTGTAATTATAGGTCCACGTTTTGGTGTAGCCCCCATATAAAGGTACCTCCCTATATTCGGTATTTTAGTTTTTTTTTGCCACATTTTTTCACGGATTTGTCTAAAAATTGGTATTTGTGGGTCATAGTGGTTTCCAGCTCCGGTGGCGAAACATTGCACGTATGGGTCCATGATTTGGTATAGGCCCCATATAACGGTACCTCCCAATATTCGGTATTTTGATGGTTTTTGCCACATTTTTTCACTGATTTGTCTAAAAATTGGTATTTGTGGGTCATAATGGGTCCTAGTTCGTGTGGCGAAACATTGTAATTATAAGTCCACGTTTTGGTATAGCCCCCATATAACGGTACCTTCCGATATTCGGTAATTTGATGATTTTTGCAACATTTTTTCACGGATTTGTCTGAAAATTGGTATTTGTTGGTCGAAACATTGCATGTATGGGTCCATGATTTGGTATAGCCCCCATATAACGGTACCTCCCAATATTCGGTATTTTGATGGTTTTTGCCAAATTTTTTCACTGATTTGTCTAAAAGTTGGTATTTGTGGGTCATAATGGGTTCTAGTTAGCGTGGCGAAACATTGTAATTA